CCATAACAGGACCACATGAGGCAGAGTCGTATAAGAGGAGAGGATTGTGCCAATGTTAGGGCCCTCATAGAACACTAGGGGAGAAACAGCATCATCTCACAGACAGATCCATCATAACAGCAAATTAAGAAAAAGACAGCAAAGCCCCTAATCACAACAAGCTCAACGAAACAGCTGGAGAATCAATTGCAACAGAAAAGGTAAAAAAGGTGCCATGAAGAAGGCAATATTTCATCTTCATCACAAAGGCCGACTTGCCTTCGCCACATTAAAGAAATGCAAAGAAATAATGTGGAGGGACATTACCACGAAGCAGAGAACATGGATGAAATGTCAACACCAAGTTTTGCAAGTGAGTCAGCGAGAGAGTTGCCTTCCCTAGGAATATGGGTGAACACAACATTACCAACCATGCGGGAGAGAGCGTCGATTTCATTGAAGATCTTCCAATTTTCCCATTGTCGTTGGGAATCATTTGTCAGCCATGAGAGAGCGACGTTGGAGTAAGATTCGATAATGAGGTTAAAGCCAATGTGTTGAGAAGATGAGAAAATGTGGACAGCGTGAAGGATAGCCATGAGTTGGGCAAAGTTAGAGTCATGGCAGCCAAGTGGTCCATAAAAGATGCTCAAAATGGAGCCTGAAGAGTTTCTATGAACGCCACCACAAACTGATGGTCCCGGCTTACCCCTAGTCAAGCCGTCAACGTTAAATTTAAGGGTACCATCCACCAGTGGCAGCCAAAAGACATTAGGGCGAGGGGTAAGGGTTTTGTGTTGAGAGAGAATATGAGGCTCTAACCATCAATTATGGTCATTAATGGAAGAATCACCTTCACTTGCACGGATCCAAATAAGAGATCACATTTTAGTAAGGAAGAAAATCTCGCTAGCATCCCATGATTTGTTCGAAAAGACCGTCTTACTCGGTGCAAGCCAAAGGGACCAAAAAGTGGCACCACACACAATGAGCCAATGCCTGCGCACACCACCCATGAAAGCAATGTCTGAGCATGATTGGATGAAAGCAGAGACGGATTGTGGCACAGACAAAAAAGTCCCCCACCATTGAGAAGCAAGGCCCCGCACCAACCAAGAGGGTTAAAGAAAATGAATAACAATTTTAGAGAATTATTATAGATAAAATATGTAATTATTTTAAAGAAACAAAATACATGACTTTATTTTTATATAAACTAATTATTACTTTATGATTAGTGTTGCATTTTTTAATTATCAATTGTACCTTTTCCTTTGTTTTCTTATTTTATTATAATTTTTTTCAAGAACAAAATATAAAAAATTAAATATAAATCAAATGGAGTCTAAAGTTTTTTCGTGGAGGGTAGTGGGTGCTTGACTTCTCCAAATTCTAAATTAGTTTTTGTAATGATATTTATTATAATTAATATCCTATTAATGATAGGGTTTTGGGAAAAATTTATGCATGCCTAACCTTTCTTATAAAAAGTTTCAATGAGATTAATGGATTTTAATGCACCTGATTTAAGTTTATCAAACTAAGTGGACTTAAAATATATTTGATATATTTTTATATAAATTAGTTATTATTACATTGTTGGTGTTGTGTTTTAACTATTTATTCTTTTTTAATCAATTATAACTTTACTTTTTTCCTTTTCTTCTTGTTTCATAATAATTTTTTAAGAAACAAAAATTGAATAATAAAAGTATAAATCAAATGGAGTCTAAATTTTTCTCGTGATGGGAGAAAACATTTCGTTACCCGTCCATGGAGAGTAATGGGTGTTTATTTCACTTCTTTGAATTATAAATCAATATTTGTAATGATATTTATTATCATTAGAAACTTATTAATCATAGGGTTTAGGTAAAAATTTATACATGCCTAACCTTACTTAAAACCTCTTCTCCCATTTTGGGAAATATTTAAGAAAAAAGTTTCAATGAGTTCCTTCTCTTAAAACAAAAATATATTAGCTTGGGTGAAAAACAAAAGAAGTATTGAAATACAATGAGAAGTTGAGTATTGGGAATTGGCTACACTTGAACAAGCAGAAGCCGCCCCAAGGAATTGGTCTGCATCTTATCCATTTAGTGCTGAGGCAACCGGATTTGGTTTTCCCAGCTTTCATTTCCCCAAAGAGGAAAATAATTACTAGTATTCATTGTTGCTCACCGAGTAAGGTGCAGCTTATTAATGATACCCTTATTATAAGATAAAAGAGCTAAGTAGAATGTATTAAAAAATATGTAAATACAGTTTAAAAATGAGTATTTCAAGCTTACAATTATTTATTTATTATAAAAATACATGTAATTTGACGTGACTTGTTGATTAAATATAATAAGATCAATTGATGACCTGACATATTACGTTAACAATTCTCTTTTTGTAAATTTCATGTATATAGGAAGTGCCAGTTGGTATCAGTTATATTTTCAAAATAAGAACTCAATTAAGTAAAATAAAAGAATAAGAATTCAATAGGGCACACATAAAAAATAGCTTAATTCAATACGATAAATATATAAGAGTTTAATTACAAAAATGTATATGGTTAAGAGATTTTTTATTATTATTTAGACCTTATTATATTCAAGAAGAAAATGAATGACCTAATAAACAAAACAATTTTTCATTTTTTTGAGACCTCTTACCTTGAGAACAATAATCTTGATGAGGAATATAGTAAAATAAGCCACATTAATAGCTCTTTAAAAGGGTTTGGCCTTGAAGGTCATCTCCATTTTATAAGAGGCAGTTCCAAGATTTTTCAAGTGCTTTAATTCCTTCGGCTGGGGGTTCTTGACCTTGTGTAGAAGAAAGAATGGCTTTCCCAATTTCGGATGAATTGCTGGGAACTTTTGTTCCGATTGCTGTTTATTGGATTTATTCAGGGATTTGCATGGCATTAGGGTCCTTCGAGAATTACAGATTGCATCCTAAGAAAGATGAGGAGGAGAAGAATTTGGTGACTAAACAGACTGTCATAATCAATGTTCTTTTTATACAAACCCTTCAGGCTACTGTAGCTGTCTTTTTATTTAAGGTTTTTGATTGTTATTTTTTTCCATGGATGTTTGGTTATTCCTGCTTTATTTTTATTCTCACAGAATAATTATTTAATTTTTTTATATTTCATTTTCTGAACCAAACGTGCAACAAGAATTACAGTGTAACAATTCTGGTTGAAAATTTAGGATTCTTGCATGAGTTCCATGGTCTGTTTCAAGCTTCCATTTTCTATTGCAGGTGACAGGAAATGATGCTGGGGCTTCTTCTAAAAGCCAGTCATCGACTTCCCTTGTTGTTTCTGCAGGACAGTTTGTGATGGCAATGTTGGTCTTGGATACTTGGCACTATTTCATGCATAGATATTTCCACCGCAACA